CACACACACACACACACACACACACACACACACACACACACACACAATTAAGAACATACATAGAAGAACACAGACAATTAATGTTATGGTCTAGGATTTCTTTCTTGGTTTTGTAAGACCATCAACTGGCGTTGTCTGATCTATGTGCCCAGTTTGTTGGCTCAAGAGAGTTGTCTGAGTTCCAGTACCTCCAGTTCAAAATAATTGTCAAAATAGACCTGTTTTCTAACATTGTCCTGTTTTGTAAGTGTTGTATTTTATTGTATTTCAAAATAAAGGTCAAGTTGCAATGGCCAACAGAAGGCAGACAGGACAATCATAACTTCTCCAGGGATTATTTCCCTCCCCACCAGTCTTTTGAAAACCCATCATTCACTCTGCCTTTCGTGTGTCTGGGTTGATTTATAGTTGGATGATCACAATGCTTCAGAAATGTGTGGGGTTTGTGTTTACCTGCAGTAAGTTCTTCCTAGGTGTAGCCAACACATTGACTGCCGAAGATAAGGTGTGTGTGTGCGCCAAAGCCAACTCTCCTAGTCCGGCAGCGTGACCCCAGTCCAGGACCAGGTCAAGACTGGCTCGCATTTGCACACCCCTGAACCACTGGTAGAAACCTGGCTCTGAGCCTGTAAGCACAACAGATAAAATCTTAGAAAAACTTGTTTGTTCACTGTATTTATATTCATACTGGGGAAATGTATTATCTTCTGTTCATTTGTATAGCCTAATCCAAACCATAACCTTAATTGACCAGTACCAGTATGTGCCTAAGCCCAATGCAATCGCCACCTAAAAGCTAAACCTAAGCCCTAACCAAAAGATGACATTTTACTGCATTAGGCCCAGGCTTTGTCCCTATAAGAGCATCAATCCTGTCAAGATAGCAGAAAAAGTCCTAAAGAGTTATTGCTTTAGAAAACATCTCAAGAAAATTATCTCCAGAAAACTGGTAGAGACAGGAGGTCACAAGGCTGAGACTGAACAAACCTTGACTTTGTTTTAACAAAGCTGTAATATGATTGATATAGGAGAAGGCCCAGCTGAGTGTGATAAACTGAACTCTTGTTATGTAATGAATTTACTTTGACTGGGAGGTGACAGACACCACATCATAGATGTATAGACAATTTTTCCTTGACACTGAGAAAAGTTGTGTAAGCTTAGAAATCTCCATAGATAATGAAAACTTCTAAATAGTTTTGTCACTACTAAAGTACTCATAACAATTATAAAAAGCTTGTGCAGTGACGTTATCAAAACTACTAATTTTGTCATGTTGGATGGCAATTCACAGTTAGTGGTAATACATACTGGTATAGCTAGTCATGTTGAACATGAACCTGTACAGTCAAGCCCAGGCATCAGGAAGTTCATTCAACGTAAAACTATTGACATGTTTTTAGTACAAGCCCTTCAGAAAGAAGTGCTCTAAAGAAGTCAGCAGAAACGTGAATCACTGGTACTGTTCCTTAACCTTGTTGTTGAATCTCGTGCAGCCTTCAGGTTAGATTACTGCCACCCCACAACTTAGTATGGAGTCAGCCAAGGACATTTTTAAGCATACTCAGTTTGATGGGCCCAGACTAAAGTCTGAATCAAACAGTGCTATGACCCACATCAAAAAGGCAATTTGCCATTGGGCAGGGGACCAAGAGACAAGCAGGTGATGGGAGACTGCTTTGGTGCCCCCAGGAAAGCTATAAATGTGAGGCTGGATATTCAAGACTTTACCAGAAATCTTGTTAGTACTTACTCTGCAGTCAAGTTTTATTGTCTTCTAGTTTTCCTAGGCTTCGGGAAATCCAATCTGATTACTGTTACCTTATTAAACCATTTGATCAGCAGTGGGTCATTTGAATGTCCCCCTGACGACTTGTACAGCCTATTGCTCAACACGACACAAATGTTTCTTTATACATAAAAGTCTCCATTCACAGTGGCCATGCCGAATGTACTGATGATGGTTCTATGCTGGTACCTCTCTCCATAAGTGAGTTGAAGAGTGATGCATTGATGAAGTAAAAGAGGTAGCCTAGGAGCTGTGAGGAAACCTCGAGGTGGACCTGGCAGTCTAAGAGTAGCCTCCAGCTCTCGTTTAGAACATCCACCACCTGCCAGATCTCCCCGGTGACTTGCAGGCCGTTGCTGTCTGGGACCTGACCACAGTCCCCTGATCCCCATAGGTCAGACGGACTCTCCCTGAATGGGTTGCAGTCCAGCAGGCCCGGTAGGATTGGATGAAGGAACTGGTTAGACAGAAAAACAAATGCACAGCTTAGTGCAACTCATTTATCCATGCAGAGCCAGAGACTGTTGGCAATTCCTGTGGGTCAGTTTAGTGGTTGGAAAATTTAACACCGTGTGGTGGATGATTTGATCTCTAGGATAAACTAAAACATGAAACCCTTCAGCTCAGATTTCAGACCACCCGTATCACATCTATCCATCTATCTCAAACAGTACAACACAGCTGGCGTATGTTGCGTTTGTCGATGTAAAATAATACAGTTTCTAACGTTTAACTGTTCTTGAGAGTGAGCCTGAACAACCACAGCTTTGTTCAGTCTAATTGTGCACAGACATCCCCGTTCCCCATCAATCTTACTCTCTAACCCACAAAGCACCCAAGGCTAGTGGCAGCCATAAATAGTGTTTGCAGTAACTAATTTAAAATTCTACAGACAGGAGGCTCTTTAAAAGAGCAGAAAGCCACTTTGATCTTGGTTATGCTCATACTAGCCATTAGCTCATCAGTCCTATCAGAAAATGCTTTTCTTCCAAACTGAGGTTAGTCATTGAGTCTTCCTAACTTTTCCAGAGAACCTCACTTCAGATGGCTATAATACCCCTTTAATAAAATAATCTTGCAAAAACTTGCTGGCTGGAAAATGTTGCCTAATGGAGGCAAGCCAGTGAGGGTTCATTCTCTCAGCAGGACTGGTTTCTGGGATGACCACATGCATCTATGGCACGCGTGACCCTGGAGGCAAACCAACCAAGTGTATTGTCTGTTTATTTGTGCATTGTCTGCAATGCACAAGTAAACACACAGTTTGACCACAAGCCTGCCGATGACCCGCCTTTATTCATCACAACGGCTCTTCAGCTAGAAATGCTTCTCACCAGTGGCGCCTTTGGTGTTCCATCCCGCAGTCATTGTCCTCACATTGAAAAGATGAGCTCAGAATACTTCAGACACAATCAGGAAATGCCTTTATTTTTGACTTATTGTTGTCAGTATGGAAAACTTGTGGTCTGACTGACATAATTATTGGGCAAGAAAGAAAAATAGACGCCATTCTTTGCATCTTTTGTCAAACTCCAATCTTTCTTCTGATTAAACTTCAGTAAACATTGTCAAAAAACTATTTCTTCTTTTAATGAAATGGCAAAGGTGGATTGTAATGTTTTTATTTGTCTGTATATGGGAATTTAAAATTGGGTCTGTCTGTGACCAATATATCTCAAGAACCACTGGATGTACTGTATTTTAACAAAACTTTCAGAAAGTAATAACTTGATGTTCTTCTACAACTGATTATCTTCTGGAGTCAATCTGATTAAGGACGGCTGCTTTAGCTAACTGAAATTAAAAACAAAACAAAAAAATGGCTATAACTCAGTCCATTTTACAGGTGATAATCTAAAATTTGGTGTGGTGGTAGCTGAGACTGATCGCCAAGATATGTTTTGAGTGCTAACAGAATACACAAGGTCTTTGATTAACATTTTGTATTACATGTTTAGAGTCAACTCTGTCCGTCTGTTAGCAAAATATTTCATGAACAGACTTTAATGAAACTTTTAGTAATTAATCACTAAACGTACAGCCAATTATTTTTTTGAAGCAAACTCAATTCAAGATGGCTCTCAGGACAAATTCACTAAATTTCAGTCAGTTTTACACTTATTGAACTTTAATTTGGTGTGGTAGCTTCTGAGAGTCGTTCAGAAGAAATACTCCAAGTGCCATTAATCGCACACAATTTTTCTTTTAAACTTTAATGTCTGCTCAGAGTAAAACTTACTTATCTGCTCGATCAATACAAACTGAATCACTGGATATGTTTTATTGAAAGTCTCAGAATATAATCCCTGACTGTGCAGCTGAAATTTACTAACTCAATCTGGTCGCCACAGATTATTGATCTTAGTCAACACGATAAATGACTTTCACATGATCTGATTTACAAATATTAGGGTACAAATTTTGTGATGAGCTTCATTCGCCTCTTTAAATCAGTAAAGGCATATTTCAGTAAAAAGGTCTCACTTGTAAATGAGTCTTCGAGGCTCAATGTGATTTATCTGTGTAAATAAAGGTTGAATGAAATGCTGGTAACTGAACAGTGACAGTACAACGCTCTCTCTGTGTCACATCAAAGCTGCTATTTCAAACACATCCAGGGAAAGAAGACTCTTTGTTAAATGTAACTTTTAAGGCTTGATAACTAACAGCTGATGATGTTTGGAGATTATTTATGGTTTTACTGACAAGCCACATCTGCAAGTCATTTGGTTCATCAGGCTGAGAGAAAGCAGTGCAATAACATGATCACAGGTTGTTAGACAACCACATCCTTCTGTGCTGAGCAAAAAATGTGCTGAAACGTACAGGGTCGAGTTTACTGGAAAACTCCTATAGTTTCCAGTTCAGAGCTTGTTCCTTTCTGCATTGAAACCTGCAGTATGTGAAAGCTGACAAAGATTTGCTCCTCCTTATAAATCACCTGTGAGTTCCTGTTCAGCCACTGACTGATGAATGAAATAGTGAACTGATTTGCTAATGTCATTTTGGGAATCTAAATAGCTCAATCTCTTCTATGCTTTTGTTTTCTTCTTCTTCTTCTTTCTGAATGGCATTTTGACCCACTCCCACGCAGCTCAACTGGAAATTTGTTTGAAATGTTCCTGGGCATGCTTCCATGGGTGTGGCGCTACTTTACTTATAACTGGATACTGTGACCACAAGTTTTTGTGCGCGTCTACACTGCAAGACGAAAGCCCAAAGCACATTTGATATAAACATTTTGTGAAAAGTAAGCGTAATAATTTATCTTTATTTTAAACATTTTAATTTATTTATTATGGGAGTCAGCTGAGAGATCCGATATAATTTTGTGCATATGTTAAACGACCAACCTGGCATGACTCTGTTGGGCCATGTCTGTAAAATCCAAAACAGTAGTTAACTAACCTACAAAGACCTCAACAACCTAGCTCCATATTACATTAAAAATCGTATCATTTCATATGTTCTAAACGGAGCACTTCACTCTCAGATTGCAGGTTTACTTGTGGTTCCTAGAGTTTCCAAAAGCAGAATGGGAGGCAGTTCTTTCAGTTATCAGGCTCCTCTCTTGAACCAACTTCCAGTTTCTGTCCATGAGGCTGACACATTGTTTACTTTTAAGATTAGGTTAAGTCTCTCCTTTTTGATAAATCCTATTTGGGCTAACTTGGGCTTCCTGAGCTATCTCTTAGTTATGCTGCTATAGGCTTAGACTGCTGGAGGACCAACTGACCACAAATCTTTATATGTGGCTGTCTTTACTTGCTTTAATCTCCATGTTTATAATTAGAGTCATTGGTGCCATTAATGTTGTGTTTTCTCTTTGTTTCTTTCCATAGAAACTACACAAGTTCCAACAATTCTGTGTTTGTCTAGTTCTCTTTTCTGTCCCCTCATACCCAGTTGTTTAAAATGAATGGCTGCCCATCCAGGACTGGTTCCCTAATACTTACTTCCTGTTAAGTGGGAGTCATTCCTTTCCACTGTCACCCACCAAAAATGCAGTTTCTCTGGTATGATATGATTTGGATCTGTTTGCTTTTCGTATGACTAAAATTATCTTTGTTGTAAAGTAAGTGGAGTTGTATGGATTTTCTCTGATGCCCAAAATTAAAATTTTTGGTGAAGGTATGGTATGGTTTTATGTGAGTTAGTAAATATTATTCTATGGTATTTCATTAATTTCTTGAATGAACTGTAATGTATTTCTCTCAATCATCTGTTACCTTGGTAATGTAGTAGACACATTGCTGGAAGGCAAGCATGATGATCTCTTCCAGGACAGCCATGGTCTCCTCACTGGCAGATCGAACACAAGACAAGCGGAGCTCCAATGATGCTAAAAACACATTTATAAATTCATACCATCAATGTGTGCAAATTATTGAGAAACTAAACCTGATTGATGGATCAGTTGACCAATTATTACTATTTTATTATTAATAATGCCAATGCATAACCGTTAAAGCAATCCTAGTTTGATGTACTGTACTGTACAGTACCTATACATATGTTGTTAACATTGTGTAGGTTTAAGAGTTTAGAACATTGTTAAGAACATGCAAAAGTGTAGGAAGGGTTTATAAAGCCTTAATATGTATATAAATGTTAAAATAAACATAGTGTTCCTACTTGGAAGTTTTTACCTATCGTGGTGGTGTCTGGAACGTACCCCCCGCGATAATCAATGGAATACTGTTTTTAAATTTCTGTCACAAATTTTCATTTGCTACGCCTCCCAATGACCCATACAAATTACATCAAAACATTAAAAAAAATTCAAAGTTGAAACAGGCCACTCAAAGTTGAACTTTACATCACTGAATTAATATTTTGATATATTCAACAGTTTTTACAGAATCACAGATTAAGTTGAATTTTTTTTTTTTTTACATTTTACCACAAAACCAAGAGTTTGATGATGTCGCACACTATTTTTTGAGCAGCCTATTTCCATTTTCTATCACTTATGTCTAGTCAGGTTATGGGGGAAACTCAGACCTCCCTATCCCCAGCAACATTTTACAGCTTCTCCTGGGGGATACCAATGGGGTTCCTCAGGCAGAGATGATGTGTAATCCCTCCAGCAGGTTCTGGGTCTACCTCGAGGTCTCTCTCCAGTAGGACATGACTGGAAAACTTCCAAAGGGAGACATACTAATCAACTTGAACCACCTCAACTGACTCCTTTTGATACAGAGGAGCAATGGCTCCACTACTACCATCTACTACTTATCACATTGTCAGTGCAATTAAAACATGTGGGAGTTCCTATTCCACATCTGTCTTTGGTCAGTAGAGGGTGCCATACTACCACACCTACAAGAAATGTTTATTGATGAAGCTCCAGGCTTATATAAGGCACCTGAGAATCTCCCTTTGACGCTGGAGCATTACCCTGCCTATGGTTCGTGTTTCTAGCCTTTTGTGAATCTCTAGTCTTGTGAATACTTACCTTTTGCCTTGAGATATTTCCAGTGTGCCTCCTGAGACATACCCAATTGCTGGACCTTCCATAGAACCTCTGCAAACCTACCTTTGTACTCTTTAGCTATTCACCTCGCCCTTCAACCACACCCACCTTCTGAGTCTACTGGACCTTCTCATGATTGTACAGGATATTGGATCCAAACTACCTACCATCCATTTTCTAGGTTCCTGATTCTTCCTGAACTATGTCCACTGTAAATAAAAGCATTACACTTAAGCCAGTGTGTCTGAGTTGTTTATTATCACTCCTTTTGCACTGGGTAATTTGTTGCAACAAAGCATTGCTCTCAGGCCATCATTACATGCAGCATCCCCTCAGTGCGGACTGAACTCGGCAAAAAGGCCTTTTCTTACTCTGTTCCTGTATCCTGGAACACCTTACAAAAACTGAAGCTGTCTGAAGATGTCCACTTTGATTTCTTTAAGACATTTTAAGACATTTTAAACTATTGATAATGTCAAAAGAAAAATCAAAGCAAATATGTTCTTGTTTTTAGTATTTTACCCTGTTTTATATGGCTCCTTAATTTGATTATTATTATAACCCAACTGTTTTATTATTTGTATATTGTTGTCTGTACTTTATATGTTGTCTGTCTAAAACAGGTATCTTTTGAAAATGAGTCCTCATGACTCAATGAGACTACCAGTATAAATAAAGGCTTGCCTGCCTGTTTCAAGGAATGTTGCCTGTCACTTAATCTGACCCAACTCATCAACTCTCCCACTAGACCAAACAAAAACTGTCCTGAAAAATCTTCCATCTTAGACCTGTTTCTAACAAATATGCCTCACAAATTCCCTGGTACAGGTGTTTTTGCTGACATCTTGAGCGATCATTGTGTAATAGGTGCTCTCAGAGATATTAAACTTCCACCTTCTAAACCCAGATTAATTCAAAAAAGGGATTTGAAACACTTTTTTGAACAGTCATTCCTCTGGGATCTATCTCATGTAGTGAACTAGGCCTGAGGTCAAATCCTGACCTTAAGGACCTTATGGGACATAAACTGTCATTTCATTGATTTGAATCCAGAAATACAGGTTGACCCATCCTGAGACTTTCTTTCTTGAATTGATCAAGTGAAAGAACACTCTTTTTCTATTATCATTACTATTTTACAAAGGTTTGATAATCAAAGTGTGTTTAGTTCAAACCATTTTTAAATGTTGAAGTGAACTAATCATTTTTAATCAACTGTGAAACAGTATTAGTGATTTTTAATCCTCATGCAAAGTAGAAATCATGTTAAGGTCTGTTACAGAGTAATTATGCATTTTCTGATTTTCTGTCTTTGAATGAGCAGTGTAAGTTGGTCCAAGGTTGGAGTCAAACGCAAAACAAGTTGTTGGAACGAACTGTCATGTTTTAAATCCTCTCAGACGTAAATATAGAGGCTGGCACCTGTTTTCCCTCAACTAGCCTAAATATTCCTCTCGTCTGTCTGAAAAACATTTTCAATCTGTTCCATAACATTCTTGCTGTTTTTCTGACTCCTAGTGACCTCTTACGTCACAAAAACACACCCCTGTCTGGTCGAAACGACCAATCAGGAAACTCCCAAGTGAACCGGAAATAGAGCTCTTTAAATGTCGGTACTTCCTAGTTCAAACCAGAGTCGAGTCGAGTCGGGTGGAGAGTTTGCAGAGCTTCAGTCGCTTCAGGCTCCAGTGCTGGGAGAACAGAAGTCCAGGCATGATCCCGAGTTCTTCCGAGTCTTGTGGGATTATGACATCTTCCACCTCTGAGTGGAACTTCTGAAGGACTCCACTCATGTGAAGTCCACTCGTGAGGTGAACCTGTGTCGGACGGAATACCGTCACTACTTCGGACGATTCACAGCTGTTCCTACGGAGACGCTGAAAGGGTGCGTTAAATGGAACTCCGTACCAGTGGAATCACCTCCTCCAGGTAAAAGAGTTGATTTATACCACCTAAGTGTACCGGGGAAGAAGCTGGGAACTCACCGGAGAGTGCCGTTCTGATGCCGACACACACACATTTCCCTCATCCATCCTTTCTCTCAACTTAAACTTCAATTTCCATCTTTAAACTCTTCTATCTGCTAGAAATCATTCAAGATATTTTCAGAAATGTCTGTTGTGAAGTAAAGGGAAATCATGGCCGTATGGTTTTCCTGATTGTAAAACTTGCTAAATTAGCCATGTTGTAATTTTCAATTTGCCAAATTAATGTAAATGTGTGATGTTAAACTTGATTCTGTAAATAAATGACCACGTTCATTTTGATGGGTCAAAGGAAATTAACGTCTCACGTTACGTTTTTAATAATTCAATGCACAACATTATTCAGTCCAGAAAAATGAAAGAATCCGTTTAAGTTATGAATATATATCAGCATATGTTCATCTACACTCACTTTTACTGGCATCGTATTCTGTTAACTGACGATGTGAACAGCGCTTGGAACTTTTTTCATAGTAGTTTCATTTATTTTGTGAACAAACATGCTCCTTTTCGTCAGTTCAGAATAAAGGGACGAGACAGCCCCTGGTTTACTCCAGAGCTAGCTGACCTCCTGCACAGGAGAGACCATCTTTGGGCCGCAGTGAGAAAATCTGGTTCAGATACTGATTGGTTGAGTTTTTGGTAGCTGAGGAATAAATGCACAACTGCCATCAAAGCTTCAAAACGTAACTATTTCTTATCTCAGACCTCCAAAAATCTAAATGACCCTAAAAGATTCTGGAAAACCATCAAATCTCTCTCAGGCACCCCCCAATCATCTGACCTCCCATCACAACTTCTCATTAACTCTGCTCCTGTGTCAAATAAGCACAAGATCCTGAATTGTTTCAACAAACATTTTGTTGCTTCTAGTTCTTTATTTGACACAGTTACTAATGGAAAATCAACCACTTCACTTAATAACCAAACTTCTACAAATCAAATCCCTCCTACAAGTCAATCCTCAGTTAATCACACCTTCTCTTTTTCTCCGTTCTCAGTCAGTGAGGTAAATAAACTGTTAAAAGGTCTTGATCCTAAAAAATCTGCAGGTCCAGATGAACTTCCACCTTATTTCTTAAGGTTGGCTACTCATATCATCACAGTTCCTGTGACCCACATCTTCAATTTCTCTATAAGCCAAAACTCCATCCCAAACGCTTGGAAAACAGCCTTTGTTCTTCCTTTACTGAAGGGAGGTGACCCCACCTCACTGAACAACTATCAGCCAATCTCTAAACTCTGCATTTTAGCCAATGTTCTAGAAAAACTGATAGACTCTCAAATCAAAAGTATTTGGACTCATTTAACATCTTACCTCGCCATCAATCTGGTTTCAGCAAACAACACAACTGCTTCACTGAAGGTTCTTAATGACATTGTTGAAGCATTGGATGCTAAGGATTATTGTGCTACACTTTTCTTAGACCTGACTAAAACTTTTGACACTGTGGATCATAACATCTTGTGTCATAAGCTCTCAGAAATTGGTTTCTCAGATCATACCATTAGTTGGTTCTCTAACTATCTTTCAGACCGGAGGCAGTGTTCAACATAATGGTACTTCCTCCAGTTATTTAACAGTCAATAATGGTGTACCACAAACCTCAGTCTTAGGACCCACCCTCTTTACAATCTACATAGGTAAGGTAGGTAAAAATATCCCTGATACTGTACATCCTTACATTTCTATGCTGATGACACAGTTGTTTATTGTCACGCTAAAACAGTTGCTAAGGCTTTCCAGCTTTTGCAATCCACATTCAACATCATTCAGTCAGATTTGTTCCACCTCAAGCTTGTCTTAAATGCTGATAAAAACCAAAGGGATGCTTTTTTCAAACAGGAAGTCGGTCCCAGCAGTTCTTCCTCCAATTTTATCCTCAAATGGTGTCCCTATTGAGTTTGTTGATTCCGATAAATATCTGGGTATCTTGGTCGACTCGTATCTCTCTTTTAAGCTCCACGTGGAAAACCTAGTAAAGAAACTGAAAGTTAAACTGGGTTTCTTTTTCAGAAACATATCCTGTCTAACTCTGAATGCTAGGAAACACCTTGTAACTGTGACTTTCCTTCCCTCCATTGACTACAGTGACATTATGTACATTAATGCTCCTACAAGAACCCTGCAGATGTTGGATGCTGTCTATCACGGTGCACTAAGATTCATAACTGACTGTGCTTATCATACCCACCACTGCACCCTGTATTCACTGGTTGGCTGGACATCGTTAATTTCACGCAGACTCTTCCACTGGCATATATTCATCTTTAAATCACTTCTTGGTCTGTTGCCTTCGTACACCTCCTACATGTCTCTGCGTGAGCGCAGTTACAGCGTGCGCTCTCAGGACATTATTACCTGCAGTGCTCCCTCAGTGCGGACTGAAATTGGCAAAAGGACCTTCTCCTACTCTGCTCCTGTTTCCTGGAATATCTTGCAAAAAGATTTGAAACTCTCAACTTTGACCTCTCTAAGTGGCTTTAAGAATCTGTTGGACTCCTGGCAAGGACCAATGCAGACATGTTCCCGTTTTTAGTTTTCTACATTCGCCTTATGATCTAGCTATTTTTTGCTATTTTTGCCATCTTATTTTAATTTGTTAAAAAAAAATTGTATGCCTCTTGAGTCCTCAAGACTCAATGGGATTAACCGGTCTAAATAAAGGTTGAATGAAAAAAAAGGTTAAATAACAAAACACAACAACTCAGAGCTTCTACCAGATAACAAACCTCCTTACCTCATCACTAAGGATGAGCTCGGCCACCCTGTCTCATTAAAGCTTATTTCAGCTTCTTGTATTTAAGATCTTATTCTCTTGTACATGGTACTTACCTCATGACCACAGGTGAAAATTGGAATGTAAACGGATCAGTAAAATGAGAGCTTTCTCTTTTGATTCGACTTTTTTCTTCAACACTTAGACCAAAGCAACACTCATTACTGATAACAAGATCTGATCCGCCGATCCATTTCCCACTCCATCCTACATCACTTGTGAGCAAGACCTCCAGATACTTTAATTCCTCCACCTAAGGCAAGTTGTTGAGGAAATGGCATGTCCCTAGAGCTATTTTTTGCTGCCAGGAATTGGCACAGCCAGGGACCTTCCCTGGCCTGCCATGCGTGTAATTCCCCAATCTGTTACGAAAGCCGATCCGTAGTGTAGCTCCTTTGCGCATGCACTAAAAGGAATACTTACGGGTTGCACGGATCGCCGTTGAATATGCTAGATTAAGGAAAATTAACTGTTATAATTCCATTTATGAATAAGAACTGTCTCAATTTACTTATAAAAGTATGTGCTCTATCTCCACTGATTTTCATGTTGCTAATTTACGGCACATTGACATATTTACGTCATGGTTAAAATGATATGCAGCTTCACCACTGAGCGGTGCTGTTTCACCATGGAAATAATTCATTCTGTATCTTGCAGGGATTTTCTCATTCAGTCCAGGCTGGTGGTCAGGTCTAATGCGTCACATCTTAACCAATGATTTGTAATGGAAGTACGAGTGGCATGAATTATTTACATGAAGATCGGTAGAGATAGAGCACATACTTTTCTAAGTAAATAAAGTAAGTTTTTATTCATAAACAACGGCGATCCGTGCGACCCAGGAGTACACTACGGATTGTGCTTCTGTAACAGATCAGGGAATGACATTGCGGCTTGCATAGAGCCTGACCCCTGACGTTGACTGTCTTCCTTACACTTGGTGGACCCATGTGGAAGTGACATCCAATCTTTCTTTCAGGTGTAACCTGGCTAAGTCCTAGAAACCAAAGCCTAAGCACAAGGTGTTCGATGGTGAGCTCCAACCCTAGGCCTGGCTTCAGGGGAGTACCCTGCTTTTCTTTATCCTGATGCATCTGTTATTTATCCTTCAAGGTTTCTGAATTGCTCTTGGTCTAACCCCCTCTCTGAGGACTGTTTGCCATGAATAAACCTACCAGGGGTCGATGCTCCAGAAAACATAGCCCCCAGGATCCCAGGGGTATTCAGACAACAATTTTTTGTCTTTTTTCACCCAGTGTGTGTCTCTAACTGCAAGAGGTCTTATGGCATGTCTTACTTAAGATGTTAAAGTATTATGTACTAGATCTCTCTAAGGCATGAACACATACAATCACTATCACATACGTTTTCCACTGCCTTGAGTACATTACCTTCCCATCCTCCATTCAGCTCCTGCCTCTGCTCCTCTTGGTTCCTCCTCTCCAGAAGAAGAGGCAGCTGGTGTTGAACAAACTGCAGCAGTTCCAGGCTGTTGGCCATCCATACCATCAGGGGGCGTAGCTCTGCGATCATCTCGTGCAGACTGCCAGCCTTGAGGATTTCACAGTTTGACCCTTTCATAGGGTGACTACAAGAAAGGGCAAAACATCAGATATGGTCTCAATGGAATTAAAAGTTATAAAAATGGTGGCTGGAGAAAGCAAATTACTTACACCTCGGACTGAACTGTGGCTATCTTTGTAGTGCAGTCCTGTGTGGGAAAATACAATAAAATCTGTGAGTGGAAAACTGTGTCAGGTTTCAGGAGGGTTTCAATCAGAACTTTGGTGAAAACAGCTAAATTTTACGTTTTTATTTGTGATTGCATTCATCAACCATCACTTGTAAAACAAAATCTGCTCATTTCATGAACATAAACGAAAACAGCTATAAATTTGAAATGAAACTGATTTTTTTAATGAATAGAAAAAATTTGATAATTTGTCAGTAAATGTATTAAGATTAAATGTCATTTTATTGCCTGCCTTTAGTGACTGTGGGCACTTCTGTCTGTTAGCAAAATACTCAGTCTCATAAATTACTGGATGGATTTTAATGAAATTCGTTGGATGTACAGTACTGTACATAGATTATTTCAAGTGGGACTCTAATTCAAGATGGCTGCCACAGATAAGCAGCACCTACAGCCCTGTTTGTCAGTTAGCAAAATATTCACTGAACAGATTTTAACAGACCTTTCAGAAAGGCATCATTGGATGCATGTCAAAACTGACTATGCTAAACTTTTATGTGGCTTAGAGACATTCATAACACTCTTGAGCAGACAAATTTCACAATACTGTGTCAAACTGGGCATGTTGGTTTATTAAATCTGACCAAAATGGGTACAATTCTGTCATTTCTAATTTTAGTGTAAAACAGGCATGAAATGTGGCGGTAAAGGAATGCTAGGCCTTTGATATTTGAAGTGTTGCTGCTGCTTTGTAGACTGCTGTCTACAGTGCCTTGCGAAAGGATTCAGCCTGAACTTTTCAACCTTTTGCCACATTTCAAGCTTCAAACATAACGATATAAAATTTTAATTTTTTGTGAAGAATCAGCAACAAGTGGGACACAATCATGAAGTGGAATGAAATTTATTGGATGTGTCAAACTTTTTTAACAAATAAAAAACTGAAAAGTGGGGCATGCAATATTATTGGGCCCCCTTACTTTCAGTGCAGCAAACTCACTCCAGAAGTTCAGTGAGGATCTATGAATGATCCAATGTTGTCCCAAATGACTGATGATGATAAATAGAATCCACCTGTGTGTAATCAAGTCTCCGTATAAATGCACCTGCTCTGTGATAGTCTCATGGTTTTGTTCAAAGCGCAGGGAGCATCATGAAGACCAAGGAACACACCAGGCAGGTCTGCGATACTATTGTGGAGAAGTTCAAAGCCGGATTTGGATACAAAAAGATTTCCCAAGCTTTAAACATCCCAAGGAGCACTGTGCAAGCAATCATATTGAAATGGAAGGAGTATCAGACCACTGCAAATCTACCAAGACCCGGCCGTCCCTCTAAACTTTCATCTGGAACAAGAAGAAGACTGATCAGAGATGCAGCCAAGAGGCCCATGATCACTCTGGATGAACTGCAGAGATCTACAGCTGAGGTGGGAGAGTCTGTCCATAGGACAACAATCAGTCGTACACTGCACAAATCTGGCCTTTATGGAAGAGTGGCAAGAAGAAAGCCATTTCTCAAAGATATCCATAAAAAGTGTGTTTAAAGTTTCCCACAAGCACCTGGGAGACACCAAACATGTGGAAGAAGGTGCTCTGGTCACATGAAACCAAAATCCAACTGTTTGGCCACAATGCAAAATGATATGTTTGGAGTAAAAGCAACACAGCTCATCACCCTGAACACACCATCCCCACTGTCAAACATGGTGGTGGCAGCATCATGGTTTGGGCCTGCTTTTCATCAGCAGGGACAGGGAAGATGGTCAGAATTGATGGGAAGATGGATGGGGCCAAATACAGGACCATTCTGGAAGAAAACCTGTTTGAGTCTGCAAGAGACCTGAGACTGGGACGGAGATTTATCTTCCAACAAGACAATGATCCAAAACATAAAGACACATCTACAATGGAATGGTTCACAAATAAACGTATCCAGGTGTTGGAATGGCCAAGTCAAAGTCCAGACCTGAATCCAATCGAGAATCTGTGGAAAGAGCTGAAGACTGCTGTTCACAAACGCTCTCCATCCAACCTCACTGAGCTCGAGCTGTTTTACAAGAAGAATGGGCAGAATTTCAGTGTCTCCATGTGTAAAACTGATAGAGACAAACCCCAAGAGACTTGCAGCTGGAACTGCAGCAAAAGGCGGCGCTACAAAGTATTAACACAAGGGGGCCGAATAATATTGCATGCCCCACTTTTCAGTTTTTTATTTGTTAAAAAAGTTTGACACATCCAATAAATTTCATTCCACTTCACGATTGTGTCCCACTTGTTGTTTATTCTTCACAAAACATTAAAATTTTATATCTTTATGTTTGAAGCCTGAAATGTGGCAAAAGGTTGAAAAGTTCAAGGGGGCCGAATACTTTCACACGGCACTGTATACGTATACCATCTTTTTATCAAGATATCCATCAAAACATCAAGATGCACACTATTCTTGGTGTTCCAGCACCGCAGCAACAAGGCAGGTCAACTCCACAGACCAGCAGTGGTGTCTTTAAGATGTTCACCAAGAAAACCACAAATAGCCTCCATTTCCTCTGAGGGCTCTTTGTGCACATCTTCAGGGGTCACCACATGTACTGTGTTCACAAGATGATGTTCATCTTCTTACAAAAAGATACAGAATATAAGGTTTATTGGAGTTATGGATTCTTATAAAAAGTTTACCTGACTGATTATTTGATTTATTTAGAATGACCAAGTTTGGTGAGGAAGGTAGGTTCGTAGTTACGGATAATTATGTTATGATTTACACCTTTATCACAAAAAAATCCCACTAGTACACAAGTTTGTAGTACGGCAACCATAAGACCAGCGCTGTGTTGTGATATTGGGGTTCTGGTTTCTTCATGATGGTTCCTTTGGCTCATTATGAGTAGTGGTCTTGAAGCAGACTATCAGTAACTCTTTCAGCACAACTCACCCACATGGCACTCTGAACTCCACTGGCAATCATCAGGAGGAGCCTGCGGAGGTCTGAGGTTTGAAGGCACGCTGCTGAATACTGAACACACATGCTCAGTAAAAAGGACACAGTCAGTGGAGGTCTGTCTACACCACCCATAGCAACAATCTCCCTGACAATCCGATCTTCATCCTCTGCCTGGTAGTCCAAAATCCGGCTGTGGTCCCCAGGTGAGTTTAGAAAAAGAGCGGTTCTGTTTGGAGGCTGTTCGCAGTCTGAGCTTTGGTGGTTGGTGCAGTTGGAGATGCAGCTGCTGCAGAGGATTGTTTCCTTTGTGTGGCTGGTTGCTTCAAAAGAGCTGTGACTTAATGTCCATGGAACTGCAGCAGACAAGTAGGGCTCAGAACCAGAACTGTTGGGTTCCTGCAGTTCCAAAGAAGAAATGTCAGTTTACTGTATGTGCAGTGAGACACAGTTCTTGTCTTTTCTCTTTCTTCCTTACCTTATGTGTGAGACTTAAAGGATCCCTGAAAAGGAACAAGTAGTGCTTTCCCATCCCGATGACATCACCAGGGCTCAGCCAGATGGCACGTCTCAGAACTTCACCGTTCCTCGTGACCACAGCATCCTGACAGGGGCAGAGCACGACAGGGCCACCAACACTGTGGCGCTGGAAGGAGCAGTGCTTTGGGAGGATGTCGCCAGCAAAGAGAGGGATGTCAATCTTTGCCTTGTCTTTGTGAGCTCTGTGTTGACCCATAACAACATGAGGAGCAGCCAGCAGGTAGATGATAAAGTCCTGAGGAGAGATTAATCACATTTATCGTCTTTTTATGTCTTAGACCATGGGTGTACAAAGTGCTGCCCGAGGGCCATTTGTGGCCCTTGGAGTGATTTTGTGTGGCCCGCAACTGCAGTTTAAGAATGGCATCACTTTGTCCAGCGGGCTTAAGAAGTCAATGCAGACTTTCTGTTGTTTCTTTGTTGTTAATCCTTTTTTAAATAATATTTAGGTTTAACAGCAAAACGGATGAAAAACAATCTTCTCAAAATGCGCAATATTGAACAAAATACAAACCTTTGGCTATAATCTTTTTATTTTCACTTCATGGTACAAAGCACCAAAAACATTTACTGATTTCTACCAGGAAGGAGACTTTTGGATGATCCATCCATCCATCCATCCATTTTCTTTACCCGTTTATTCCATTTTGGGTCACGGGGGTCGCTGGTGCCCATGTCCAGCGATCACTGTGCGAGGGGCGGGGTACACCCTGGACGGGTCGCAAGTCCATCACAGGGACACATAGAGACAAACAAGACAAACAACCATTCACTCTCTCACTCACACCTAGGGACAATTTAGAGTTACCAATCAGCCTAACATGCATGTTTTTGGACTGTGGGAGGAAACCGGAGCACCCGGAGAAAACCCACGCATGCACGGAGAGAACATGCAAACTCCACCCAGAAAGGCCCCCGGACCGGGGTTTGAACCAGGGACCTGCTCGCTGAGAGGCAGCAGCTCTACCAGTTGCGCCACCGTGCTGCCCCACTTTTGGATAATGATTCATAAAACTTGGCTAAATATTGCAGGTTTACTCGTGGTTCGTAGAGTTTCCAAAAGCAGAATGGGAGGAAGATCTTTCAGTTATCAGGCTCCTCTCTTGTGCAACCAACTTCCAGTTTCTGTCTGTGAAGCTGACACATTGTCCAGTTTTAAGACTGGGCTTAAGACTTTCCTTTTTGATAAATCCTATAGTTAGGGCCGGCTTGGGTTTCCTGAGCTATCCCTTAGTTATGCTACTATAAGCTTAGACTGCTGGAGGACAAACTGACCACACTTTTCACTCTGCTACTGTCTTTACTTACTCTGCTCAACCTGTTTTGTATTTGTAATTATTTTTTCTATCCTTAACATGTTGTTGTCTTTCAGGTTCACCTGCACCTACATCTGGACCTGCCATTCTGTGTTCGTCTGTCTCTCCTTCCTGTCCTCTCAAACCAGCCGGTCAAAGCAGATGGCCGCTTATCCTGAGCCTGGTGTAGTGAACCTGATCTGACCCTGATGACCTCAAATCTATCAGATGGACAGAGACTGTTATTTTCATTGATCTGAATAAGTCTGAGCCATCTGATGACTTTCTTTCTTGAATTAATCAAGCAGAAAAGACAATCCTCTATAATCATTACTGTTTTACAAATGTTTGATAATCAAATTGTGTTAGTTCCATTCAATGCTTACAGGTTGAAAAAGAACTACTCATTTTATTTTACATAAACAGTAAGTAATGATTTTTATTCCTCATTCAAAGAAGAAATCAGGTTAATATGCATTTCTTGATTTTCTGTCTTCAATGAGCAAGCTGTCGTAAGTATGTGAAAGTTGAAGCTTCGGTCAACTAAATGTTTACTGAAAATGGGATGTCATGTTTTACTATTTGGAAAGATACAACAGAGTGAGGCTCCAAAAAGTCTGGTATTCTGCAATAATCTTTTCTGTATGTTGAAAACAAATTCATTCCCTGACCTCGACTTTTGATAATACCTTACGTCAAAAACACACCTCTTTCTGGTACATCCACGAATCAGAAAGCTCTAAATTGAACCGGAAGTCGACCCATTTAAAATGTGGCAACTTCCCAGTTCAGGTTAGAATTTGTTAGAATTCATGGAGAATTCATGGAGAATGGTGAAGTGAATGGAAGAGAATTCGAGAATTCAGGAGAGTCAGAGACGTTTGGAATTATAACTTCTGTTTGAACAACCCACGCACGACTATCTAAGGATTTCAGCAGCTCTCAACGGAGACACTGAAAGGTCTGGAGGATTCTCTATCGAGCTGATCTATCATCAACCAGGTAACGGTCTCTTCTTCGACTAAAGTGTACCGGAGGCGAGCTGAGATCTGATGAAGCGTGCACGTTCTGGTCTACAGATATTAATTCCCTCACATAGTTCTCTGTAAGATAAATCTCCATTTCATCTTAAACTCTTCTCTCTCTCACAAAACCAGTACAGATATTTTAGAAATATCTGAAGCAAAGTCCTCGTTCACCGCCAAGTGATCGATGCTCATTTTCTGTGAAACTTGTCTGTTATTATTTTCATATTTTGCCAAATTAATGTAAATGTTTGATGTTAAACTTTGATTCTGAAAATAAATGACCACATTGATTTGATGGGTCAAAGATAAATAACGTCTCTCGTTACATTTCTGTTAAATTCAATGCACGGCATTACACAGTCAGAAAGATGAAGAACTCGTGAAAATTGTATGCATATATCTCATATATTTGTCATACTACAACTAGTGACACGTACCCACGTGACACACTACACTGGTTCTGCTGGAGATTTCTTCCTGTTAAAGTGAGTTTTTCCTTTCCACTGTCTCCTTTGTGCTGCTCAGGATGGGAGATTGTGATGAAGTGAAGATTCAATGAGTCTGCTGCTTCTTTAGATAGAGAACTTTACTGTCCTGCAAAGTGCCCTGAGACAAGTTTGTTGTGAATTGGTGCTATATAAATAAACTGAATTGAATTGAATTAAATATTGCAGTTGATAAAATAATCAAGAGGGACACTGGGCATTTTTAAATGAATATAATGTGGTATCATCTACTATGTGCAACACGGTGGCTCAGTGTGTAGAGCTGCTGCCGCTCAGCGAGCAGGCTACCCTGGTTCAAATCCAGGTCTGGGGGCCTTTCTGAGTGGAGTTTACATGTTGTCTCTGTGCTGCGTGGGTTTTCTCCAGTTTCCTCCCACAGACCAAAAACATGCATGTTAGACTGACTCTAAATTGTCTCTAGATGAGAGAGAGAGTGAATGGTTGTTTGTCTCTATGTGTCCCTGTGATGGACTGGAGACCTGTCCAGGGTGTACCCAGCTTCTCGCAGAGTGATGGCTGGACATGGGCACCAGTGACCCCCGTGACCCAAAAGGAAGAAGTGGGCAAAAGATCATGGATGGATCATCTACATACGAGCTGATCAACTTTATCAAACCCTCTATAAATCTGTTGTAGTGACTGACAGCTGGATGATATTTCAGAACTTTGATCAGTCTTTTGGGCCGTCAATGATCCAAAAGGTTGATCGACCCCCTTTTAAAAGGATACTTACTCAAATTATGCTTTTATTGCTGAGAACAGACTAAAATGAACTTTCCAAACACAAAAAAACAACAAACATACACCCAACAAATCAAATAAATAAAATAATTTTAAATAAAAAAATATAAGCTTAGCATTCATGAAGTTGTTAATGTTTTGGATCTACAACAATTTAAAGCTCTTTGTTCACCAAAATTAGTAAATTTTTGTCCTTTCTCCAACATATTGTTCACGTTGAGAGTTAAATTCACATTTTGTGGCCCACGAGTCTTTTCATCTGGATAGTTTTGTCCCACATGTGAAAACATTTGGACACCCCTGTCTGGACTATTTCAGATAACAACAAAGTCCATGCTCAATAATCCAGGTATACAATCCAACATTTTTCAGTCAGGTCATCTGGACAATTCCTCTTTTTTTGTGCTGTCCAGATGACCTGACTAACAAATGTTGGATTGTTTACCTGAATTATTGAGCATGGACTTTGTTGTTTTCAACCAGTTTGACACGACTGTCACCAAGGAAGAGGGCCGGCAATGGAGGAGGGGGTGTTCCAAAGAGACCATCCTATCACAAGCAGAACTGGTTTGTTCCACTTTGGAGTAAGCTGTTGGGGGAAGAATTAGTTTTGTTGTGTGTTTCCTTGACTGATGAAGCCTTCTGGATCGAAGGCGAAACGTTTCAGCACAAAAAAAAGAAACTGTCCAGATGACCTGACTGAAAAATGTTGAACTCTTTCAGATAGTTTTGGATGATGTGTTCCTGTAGGTGGTGCTCTCGTCTTTGTTTAGTGAAGCTCTCAGCAGCCAACCCTTCTCTTCTGTTTCAAATGAATGAAAGAGGAGAAAAAAGACCTGTCAGAAGGAATTCCCTTCAAACGTTTCTGTTTTTTTCCCACTTGGATTCACTGAAGGACGCTATGAATGGCTGGATAAAAACTGGAATGACTCAGATCATTTTGTGCCAGCATGTAAGCTAAGGTTTATAAAGTTGTTTTTGCAAGACCAAATAACAGACTATTATTTTATGCTCCAAGAGGCATAGCCTTATAAATATGATGCTGAGAAGCATTTTGGCAGAGATGGTGGATGCTGCTGTAGATTCTCAGTTATTCAGCGTGGCAATCCTTCAATCAAAGGCAACTGGACTTCTTTTTATTGTCTTAAACTTTATTCCTTTTCATCAGCATCATTTATTTACATCCTGTGTCAATACAAAACAATTTTGACCCTTTTTTCTTGTGCTTGTTAGCTGTTTTCAATCAGTTCCTGTGAACACTCATTGTTTGGAGGTAGAATATTGATGTGCTGATATTCAGTTCTACTTAATAGATAAATAATTGTTGGTTTTGCTGTTCTATACGATGTTGACAGTGTATCATATTACCAGCTTTAGATATTAACTGATCAGTCACCTCTCTACCACAGAAACGAGTTTCAGTGGTCAGCTCAGACGCCTCGGCCGAGAACTGAAACAGAGAAGAAGTTGGGTTTTTTTTTTTAAGCTGCTGCCAAAAAGATGGATGGAAGTTTTAAAATACTCTACAGGGATCCAATCTCTTGGCAAGAACAGCAGAAAAACTCTAGATCCCCACTGGTAAAGGGTCAGAATGAGGTCCTGATGGTCTAAAAGCAGGCTTTGTTGCCTCCACTTTCTGCCTAAAAATGACTTAAAGTGCCAAAA